ACTGTTTGATTTGACTGCACCAATCAGAATTGAGATTGTTCTCAACGCTACCTCTGGCCGCAGGTGAAATTCGCATCTTGACCGCCAACCGTCTGCAGCTTCCACCTCGTTTTATTCGTCACAAGTCGCCTCCTTCATAACTTACTGGTGCTGGTGTGTAAGCTGTTGTTGTTCACGTAGCAATACATACACTTATAAACACACACACACACACACACACACACCGCATGCATACAGATAAACATCCCACAGGCACACAAGGCAGTAAGTATGGGGTAGACTATGCAGAATGTTGCATTATAATCGAACACACTACTGCGAGGCAAGTGAGTAATGTGGACAAATATGGTCGAATTTTAAAGTGGAAAAATCAAGGCGTCGCAAGTAGGCTTGAAACGTTGTCCGGTGGACTCGAGTGAGTCGTCAAGTGGGCCGGTGCGAGGCCGGAGGCGCGGTTGGCCTCGGCAACTCGACTCGGTCCCCGGCCTGTGCTGGCAAACGCGGTTGGCAGGCCACTTGCATGACGAATCTCTTGTTGCCGCCAGCCTGCGTGTGTCACCATGTGGCCCGAGGGTCTGGGGCCGGCATGTCTACAGGCGCGTCGGACCACGCCGGCCCGTGTCCGGACGCCAGACGCGACTGTAGGCCGGACGAGTTGTCGAAACGACGAGCAGGGGGGTGGGCATAAAGGAGAGGACAGGAGGCGAATACAGACGAACAGACTGGTGTGTCCATGCAGTTGTAGGGCGCCGGGCGAATAGGGACCAACGGAGAATGGGAAAGAGGAGAGAAGAAGGCGGACACGAGGAGGATGGAACGAGTAGGAAGAGTCGACGGGCGACGAACGAGGCAGGGCCGACGAGGCAGAACCGAGGAGTGACGAGTGACGAGTGACGAGTGACGAGAGACGAGTGCGACACACATACACACAGACAGGGGGTGAGAGACGAGGTGGGAAAGAGGGAGAGACGCCAGCGCGCGTCTTTACGACCTCGGGGGTGTGGCTGGCTCGGTCGTGTCGCGGCGCGGCGCGGCTGGTCGTCTGCACACCGCCCCGACCCGGACCAACATGAGCCGGTCGTCACCGCGCCGCTTCTCCTCATCCGGTCCAAATTGTCCGCCTGTCCGTCTGTCCGTCTGTCCCGCTGTCCGGCTGTCCGGCTGGCT